AGGCTAAAGAAGGGAAAAATAAAATGGCTATGGAGGACTTAATAGGTTTCAACAATGAAGGCCTAAAATAGAAGTCGGCAATGAAGGCTGAAAATTTTGCTTCCCAAGAAAAGCCTAAAGCTTTGATATTATGTAGAAAAACTAAGAAGTAAAACTGTGTGAAAAACTTAAGATAAAACTGAATGTATATTTAAAAACCGCTCATAAAGAATTATACAAACACCTTAGGTTTATATAGAACTAACTAGTGGGTAAACTAAGAAACTAAATCTTCCTAAAAACTGATCCTATAATTGAGGGATTGTCTATCCTGATTTTTTGTGCTTAATTCTAGGGATACAAATACTTGATTCTAGGGATACAAATATAAATACTCAAATTACAAGATTACAATCAGCTGTTAATAAGTGTTTTCCCACACAAAGTAATCTCTATAGCTTGTTTCTCTTATTCTCTTCACAATAGCAATGATGGCATTCTTAAGTGATGATATTAAATTTCTAAAACTATTCGATTTGGGGAATACTTTAGGTTCAAATGTTGAATCATGTCATCTGCTAGCTTATCTCGGGACATTAGGCCGTATCTCATTTAGTTGAAAACACCATTGTATCTTCTGAAGATTCAAAACTGCTAGTATTATTATTTATTAAAGGTTATGTGGAAAAACTAAGAAATAAAACTGTGGAAAATTAAGAGTAAAACTGAATGTATATTGAACAACTGCTTATAAAAAATCATAAAAGAACCTTAGGTTTATATACAACTAACTAGTAAATAAACGAGGAAACTAAATCATCCTTAAACTGATCCTATAATTGAGGGGTTGTCTATTCGAATTTTTTGTCTTTAATTTTAGGGATACAAATACTTAATTCTAGAGATACAAATATAAATATATAGATTATAAGATTACAACCAGCTGTAAATAAGTATTTTCTCACACTCCCCTTCAAGCTGATGAATTGATGTTTTTCATTCCCAGCTTAGAAATAATTTCTTGAAATGTTGCACTGCTGGGATCTTTAGTCAACACATTTGCAAGTTGACCCTTAGTTGATACATATGGTGTACAAATCAACCCATTGTCTAGTTTCTCCTTTATGTAATGCTGGCCTACTTTAATGTGTTTTGTTCTATCATGTTGCATAGGATTGTGTGCAATGCTTATTGCACAGTTGTTATCACAGTAGAGTCTTGTTGGTCCATCCCACTTGATTTTTGAGTCTTCTAGGATAATCTTTAGCCATAGTAGTTCACAAATTCCTTGAGCCATTGCACTGAACTCTGCTTTAGCACTTGATCTTGCCACCACATTTTGTTTTTTACTCCTCTAAGTCACAAAATTACCACCTAGGAAAGTACAGTAGCCTTTAGCACTTGATCTTGCCACCACATTTTGTTTTTTACTCTTCTAAGTCACAAAATTACCACCTAAGAAAATGCAGTAGCTTGAGGTGGATCTTCTATCAGTTATTAAACCTGCATAATCAGCATCTGTATATGCCTTTAGAACCAACCTCGAATTTCTTTTAAATAAGATACTTCTCCTAGGATTGGCCATCAAATAGTGCAATACATGGTAGATAGCCTATAGGTGCACTTCTTTAAGACTATGTATAAATTGACTTATCACACTCACAGCATATGTTATATTAGGTCTAGTATGTGAGAGATGAGTCTTCCAACTAATCTTTGGTATATCTCTCTATCTACAACAGCATCTTCATTAACTTTTCCAAGTTTATGATTAGGATCTATAGGGGAATTTGCAGGTTTACATGTGAGCTTCCCAGTTTCCTTCAAAAGATCCATCACATATTTCTATTGTGAAATGAAAATACCATGCAGTGAGTGAGCTACTTCAATTCCTATGAAGTACTTCAATCTCCCTAGCTCTTTTATTTCAAATTCTCTAGCCAAACACTATTTTAGAGATTCTCTCTTTTTCATCATCTCTTTTACAATTATATTATCAACATACGCTAATAGAACTGTGACTCTCCCTGAATTAAAGTGCTTGACAAACAATATGTGATCTCCTTGACTCTGCTTATATTCCATTGTTAGCATCACATTGGCAAATCTCTCGAACCAAGCCCTAGGAGACTGTTTGAGGCCATATAAAGCCTTTTTTAGCTTGCATACTTTGTTTACCTCTAGATGACCCCCAAATCCTTGTGGAACCTTCATATGTATATTTCTTTTTCCAAATCACCATGTAAAAAAGCATTTTTTACATCAAATTGTTGAAGATGCTAATTGAAATTTGCAGCCAATGATAGAAAAATCCTAACTATATTCATTTTGGCAACTGGAGCAAAAGTTTCCTAATAATCTACTCCATAAGTTTGAGTGTAGCTCTTAGCTACCAACCTAGCTTTATACCTTTCAACAATACCATCCACCTTGTATTTTACAGTGAAAACCTATTTACACCTAATTGGATTTTTTCCTTTGGGCAACTCTACCAATTCCCATGTCTTATTTTTCTCTAAGGCCTCTATTTCTATTTTAATGGCTTGCTTCCATTTCTCACTGGATAATGCCTTGGATAATGTAGTTGGAATAGAAATAGTGTTTAGGCTCACAAGAAAATTTTGTAAGATGGTGAGAATTTTTCAAATGACACAAAATTAGAGATGGGGTATAATGAATGCTTAGTACATTCTCTGGTTCCTTTCCTAATGGCAGTAGTTATATCATAATCACTAGTTATAGTTTTAGGAGATTCATGCTCATTTTGAGAAGCAGAGTTAAAGACTGTAGTTACCTTATTTCCAGAATTAGGTTCAGGTCCAATGCAGGATCTGGAACTTTCCTTCTTGAATACACCTGTAATTCCTTCATAGAATCAAGAACAATATTATCCTTTGTGTCATCTTTTATGTTTGGAATGGGTTCAGACTCAAATTTAGTGTTTGATTTGGACTTAGAAGAAATAGGTTTCGACTCAGAAAAATTAATGGGTGAAAATATTGAAAAGGAGGACAAATCAAGCAAAAAGAAATCTTTATCCTTATCTTCCATGAATGAAGTCTTCCCCTAAAGATAAGGTTGAGTAAAAAATGGTTTGCTTGAAAAAGTTTAGCTCAAGTTGTGGCTAGTAAATGATTATTTTTCCTTTTTTTCACTCCATTTTGCTGTGGAGTATTAACATAAGATGACTTATGAATAATCCTTTCCTTTTGGAAATAGGTAGATAAACTTTGGTTAACATGGTCTCTTGCATTATCAGACCTAAATCTCTTGATTTTCATTCCAAATTGATTTTGGATCATGTTTTGGAAGCTTAAAAACACACTATTCACATCTAATTTGGATTTAAGTAAAAATATCCAAGAGACCCTGATATAATCACCTATGAAAGAAACAAACCACCTTGCACCAGAAATATTAGGAATTGTAAAGGGACCCTATATGTCACTATGAATCAAGTAAAAATGAGTAGAACTTTTATTGCTAACTGAAAAAGACACACGTCTATGCTTGCAAGTTCACAAACATCACAGTGAAACTTTTTGGCTTTTAATCCTTTGAACAAATAAGGAAACATGTTTTTCAAAATTCCAAAAGAAGGATGTCCAAGACGAAAATGATAAAGCTAGATTGTCTTTATTAGGAGATTTTTCAAAAAGAAATGACAAAGGTAAACTGTTCTTGATATTACTTATGGTGTTTGATGTCTTAAGATAATATAGTCAGTCCATCCCCTTAGCAAGTCCAATCATCTTCTCCTAACCTTGGTCTTGAAATTCACAATAAGAGGGATAAAAAGTCACTTTGCAGTTCATGTCTCTGGTAAGTTTTTGTATAGATATCAGATTAGTAAACAATCCAGGCACATGAAAAACATTTTGAAGAACAAACAAGGGATTAATTTGAACATCTCCTAATCTTGCCACTATAGTAAGTGAACCATCTGCAACAACAATTTTCTTATTACTAGGACACGGTATGTGTACTAAACTTCTATGAAAAATGCATCATATGGTTTGTGGCTCTTGAGTCAATGACCCAAGAACTCGTAATAGGGTTAATCGAGACATTTAATCCATGAAAACCAGAAGCTTTACCTAAACTAGAAACCTTACCCAAAGAACATACCCTAGTAGGCATTTCGAGAGTTTTCAATAGGCTTCTTAGTTTCTCAATCTCTTCTCTATCTAACTCTCTTTACTTCCGAGACTTCTGTAGTATTTCAGTGGTTTTACTAGTTGTCACTTTCTCAAATCAGATAGTGGTGGCAGATTTTGCTATTTTTGGCATGGTTATCTTTTTCAGGATTGAAACGAGTCTTGATAGTAAAGGTTTACCAGAGACGATTCTTAGACAACGAAGGCCAAAGAGGGAAAAAATAAGATTGAAAGTTTAAACAAGATTTGGCTATGAAGGCCTGAAATAGAATTTAGCAATGAAGATTGAAAAAATTTTCTTCCCAAGAAGAGCTTAAAGCTTTGATACAATGTGAAAAAACTAAGAAATAAAACTGTGTGGAAAATCAAGAGTAAAACTAAATGTATATTGAAAAACTGCTCATAAAGAATTATACAAGCACCTTAGGTTTATATACAACTAGTGGGTAAACTAGGAAACTAAATCTTCCTAAAACTGATCTTATAATTGAGGGATTGTCTATTCTAATTTTCTGTCCTTAATTTTAGGGATACAAATATAAATATACAAATTACAAGTTACTATCAGCTGTAAATAAGTGTTTTACCACAGGTTAGTTTCAGTTAAACATCATCTCTTTGCCTTTCCTATCTTGGTTGACCCAGAAAGGGCCTCCCAGACATTGATAAAAAAGGATAGCAGAACAAGATATTGCCATTAAATGCTTGATCTGCCATGAACACAATCAGCTGCATCACTACACTCTGCTTGGCCATTTGTATCAATCTCACTGTTACCTCTTTTTCCCTCTTCTGGAATGTTTTAATTCATTTCACAACTTAATTATTTTGACAAATTAATTTTTAATTATATAATCTTTTCAGGAAACTAACTATGTTCCAATTACACGGGGCAATAGAGTGGTGCTCATGATTAATGGGTATGTATGCATATTAATTTTCTTTTCTGCTGTTGAGTTTTCTCTCTACCTGCTTTTTGGGACCAGGAGGTGTTTTCTGTTCAGTATACTTTTGGGGCTTCAAATCTGAATCTAATCTGGTGCTTATATTTCATATTTCTACCTTCAGCTAGGAAATACACTAGCATTTCATAGCAAATAACTATATTGATCATGCCCTATGCTGTTAAGACTTGCCATTGTTATAGGTACTTGGTGTCGTTGATACAAGATGATGAGACATAAGGCCAACAAAAGAATAGATAGGGGAAAAAGATGAGGACTGAGGAGTATGGCCTTAAGCTAGAAATAATAATACATTTATCAATGACAATGTGTTCACAATATATGTTGTAAATAAGTTGGATTTTAAGCCAGGTTAGAATTTTGAACTTTTTTCTTTGGCTTGGTTGCAGATGCAAGTAGGTTTGAGTTTCAGCTTGGTAGGTGTAGCTTGGGCTTTAAAATTTACTGATCTTATATTTATTGTTTTAGCTTCAGAACATAAAATGGGAATCAGGTAAAATGATTTCACATAACTGAATGTATGAACTGTTAGCTTAGATACAAGAAATGGGTATGACATGATGCAGACATGACAATAAATAATATTTTTTCTATATATTTCATATGTCATAATACAATTTTAGCATGAATGCAAATATTGATTTGTTTATTTGATTTTGGAAATGGGCTTTTTTATTTGATTAAATTATACTTAGTTTTGGCCATATGTTTTTGCTTGATTTTAAATTTTTAATGGTGGGCTGTTAGCCAAGTTTGCTGGCCTAAATAAGCCTCTACTTTAACCAAAATTTGCCTCATAATAACTCATATCCATTATGCCTATAAAGGCATCTAGAGCCCAAGTATAAATACCCTCAAAGAGACAAGCTCTTCTTCATCTTGTCCTCCATTCTGTTGCTTCAATTCTGGCCAGTAGCTCTCTTTTTTAATTTTTTCCTCTCCTTTTACTCAAATTTTGTTCTTCCTATTCCCAACTTCCCTAGATATCCTGCAGAGATTCATGAATTTCATCTGGTCATCAAAGTCATAGATTGTACTACTAGCTGATCATGGTGGATGATCAATGTTGTGTGAAGTTGCATTTGTAATCCTCGGGGATTGTTTGATCATATGTCCTCCCCATGTCTTTCCCATATTCTTGCCATGTCCAGAGTCTAAATGTACCTTACTTTCTCTTCTGCGTCTCATAATGTCTGACATGTATCTGGCCACATCGTAGGAGTGTTTCTGTTGGACATGGACAAGGAAGGGGCTTGCCATGTCTTGTATTATAGGTTGGAAGATAGTAGGGAAGGTAAATCATGAATGCTAGCGTAGGTTGCCTGCTCTGGAAGTATGTTTTTTTTTGTCTGTTTGTTAAGTTGCCTCAGCATAAAAGCATAAAATAATGATCCTTGAGGGCTTCATTTGTTTGATACTTTTGTTTTATTTTGTTTTGTATTTTTTTTGTTTATTTGGTAGAGTTGCTACAAATCAAAAATAAAAGGTAAAAGAAACTATCATAATTGGTTTAAAATGGACTAATAAGTAAAATGTGACACTCATTATAATATAATTAGTCTATTTAGAATTAGAATCATGCATTTTGTCATCTAAAAAGAATTACATATTTTCTGTATAATCCTTTAAAAATTTTATTTGCCTTTGTATCCACACACCTCTTTTGCTTTCTTGCTTATGAAAGCAAAAGCAAATAGCAAAAGTTGCAAACAAATGAAGCATTAATTTTACTTTGTTACTTTAGACTTTAAATAACTAAAGATTTCGATGTAGGACAGCTGTGTTCCAGGATTTATGGCAATGCTCTGATTTGAATGCTTGAGGGAAAAATGGAAAATTGAGAATAAAGAAAAAAAAAAGGAAGAAAAGAAGCTAAGTTGCTTATGAAAGCAAAAGCAAATAGCAAAAGTTGCAAACAAATGAAGCGTTTATTTTACTTTGTTACTTTATACTTTAAATAACTAAAGATTTTGATGTAGGACAGCTGTTTTCTAGGAATTATGGCAATTCTCTGATTTGAATGCTTGAGGGAAAAATGGAAAATTGAGAATAAAGAAAGAAAAAAGGAAGAAAAAATCCGTTGGCTTTGAACCTAGGGTTCTGTAGGAGTCACATCTACGGTTGATCGCATCCACAATCACCCAATTATAATCGCAATAATACTTGAAATTCTTTGGTATTAGTTCTCTATCTCAAAAGAAAGAGTACGTGGCTATTTTATTTTATTTTTGAGAAGAGTACATTCATTTTGACATAGACTCCTGGAATTCCTAATCCCATAGGAACTAGCTCTCTTACTCCAATAAGGACTTTAAGAAACACTGAAGACTGTAAATAGAAAATTAATTTGCTTAAAATAAAAGGCAATGGGATAAGGAAGACCCACATTAAGATACTAAACACAAAATACCATATTTAACTGAAGTGAAGTCCCTTATACTTGAAAAATAAACAAAACACCAAAGGGAATTTTTTTTCTCTGGGGAGGGGGGTGCACTTTTTTCACTGGACTCCCCAACAAAAAAGGCCTAATTAACATAAATTAGCTTGAATAGCTGAAAAATCCTGAATCTACGGAACATTAGCCCATAAAATACAACAAAGTAACAAAAGATAATCTAAATTAGTTTAATCCCTCAAATAGTTGCTTTGCATTGGTTTCTCTTCTTAACATTATTTCTATTTCGTTAATTCTTAATGAAATCTTATAAGTTTATACCAATTGGAGTCTTCACAAATTGTTTTTTCTACTTAAGTAGTCAAAACCAGCCTTCTATGAATATAGTATATGCAAAAGGTGAGACTTGATGGCTTTTGATGTTATGTGATGCGGCTTACTCTCTCTTTCTCTCTCTCTCTCTCTCTCTCTCTTGTTAAACTTGTTGGTTATGCATTAGATGCTCCAAATGATTCCTGGAAATGTGCCAATACTTTTTTTTTTTTTAAATGCTGGATAATGTATATTGTCACAATTAAAACCTATTAACATAGTCGGTATTCTTGTGAAGTCTTACACTGGTTGTTAAGTAAATACTGAATTATCCAAGCTAAACTTTCTTCTCTTCTTTGATGAAACGTATGCTTTTTGGCTGTTTAAATAACTTGCATGGACCATGATTGAGACATTTTTTTTTAATAAAAATTCAACTTCATCTGTTCCCAATGTTGTAGTCAATACGTTTTCTACAAATCATGTGCTTAGTGTGCTTTTTGACGATGCCAGTTAGTTTTGAGAACTCCCATGTTTCTAAAATCTCCACTCTGGTTGCCTCAAGCTGTTATGATTGCCACTTCTTTGATTTCTTGTGTGTACTGTAATTGACGTGTGTGTTCTACTTTTTGTTGTTATCATTACTTAAAACCTTGCAACCTGCAGCATTGGTGCCACTGCAATGATGGAGCTGATGACTGCATAGGGAAGAAAGTGGATAGACAGCTTATGAGCTGGTCTAGTTCTAGTTTGGCTTGATTTGGACTTGTTTATTTGGTTAGCTCAAGCTTGAAAATGGAGCTTGTTTTGTAATAAGCAAGCTTCTCAGGTTGCTTAGCTTGTTTATGTCTTTACGTTTGTGAATAAGGCTGTTTCAGAGGTTCAATTTTATGTTTTTATTCTACTAGTTTAATTGCTGTTGTTTGAAATGTCTTTTTTGTTTTTTGTTTTTTGGTTTTTTTTTTTGTTTTCATTTGAAAAATTGTTATTGTGATCTTTAATTGTATTTATGTTGATTGAATTAGGTTAGAATTATGATTTAAAATTTTTTTATTAGTATTATTATTTTAAGAGTTTGAGTAAATATATTAGCTTATTAAAAAAGCTCAGAGTTGAACTCGTGTAAAAGCTCAAATTAGGCCGATTTGTTTGAAAAAAATTGAGTTCAAACTCAAAGAACTTAAACTAATGGGCTCAATCACCAAATTTTAGGCTTAATAAAAGCTTGAACTCAATGAATGCTTAAATTATCTCCCTAATTGAGCTTCTTTTGGCTCATGTATGTACCCCTTTGCATTTACATGCTGTGGTAGTTTTTCTTCATGTCTTTTCAACATTTTTATATTATTGTTGTTACTATAACTTTTTTAAAGATCTTTTGACATGCAGGTTAGGTGCCACTCCTGTGATGGAACTGATGATTGCAGCTGGAAAGACTGTCCCTAAATTGCAGCTGGACTTTGGGCTTGCTGTTGAAAGAGTCTATACAGGGTCATTTATGACCTCTCTTGATATGGCAGGTTTGTTGTTTATAAAAAAAAAAATTCTTGTTTATTAGAAGTATTGTTCATTATTAATACAATGTTTCTTTCAGGATTTTCAATCTCTATAATGAAGGCTGATCAAACTCTGTTGCAACGCCTGGATGCTACCACTAAGGCTCCACATTGGCCTGTTGGTTCTGCTGGTCTGTGAATGTGTTAGAATATCAATACTTCTTGTTTATGTTTTCTTTTTCCAATTGTCTATAAGATGCTTGAGTAAGAAACGTGGAGTGGAATTAACATCATATATTGCATCAAGTATTGATGATCTAAATTGCAGTGTTAAGAATATAAACTCGACCTTTCAGTATAATGGTTTCTAAGGTTAACCATTTCAGTTTCTACAGATTGAAATTTTAGAATAAAGTTAAAAAGATATTTGGGTTCATTGAGCTCAAATGATCTGTTTTCTTGTAGGTAATCGTCCACCTGCCAAGATTCCTGTTCCATTGCCACCATCTCGTTTAACAAAGAGTGAGGAGGTAGGTTCTAGGAATTATTGGTTACTATAAAAGGGTATATTAGGAATGGACATGTCATTTATTATAGATAAGTTTTCTAGTTAAAAGTGACATTTACAGTTAATTAACATCTCTTTCATGCAGAAAGTGCATATTAGGTTTTAATTGCTATTATTAAATAGATTGGCTTCGTTTCAAGTGTTTGATGTTACCATTGATAGTTATAGACAGCCCAAAGTGACAAATGCACAATCTTAGACTTGCTTGGTAGGCTATGAAAAATATAATGGGGTTACTACTATCAATGGAAGAGAATGTAATGGCATCATATTTAAGCACTCATTATGTACCAAAAATAAAATATTTAATTACTGAGTTTTATGTTCTGTTGATGAATACAAATCGGTCAAGTCCACAGAATAACCAAAAATAATATGGATTACACTGATAATCCTCTGGATCAACTGCAATAGCCTGAGAAGCTCATATGGTTAATGTTAGGCTTTTTTGACTTGAAAAATAAAATAGTTTCACAAATAACTGCAGGTGTTTTATTGTCCAAAAAGGGCAAACAGAAAAAATTAGTAAACCAAAGAAGAACGAAAGGACAAAAATGTATGTACATTAGTTAGTGATGAAATTTCATTTCCTTTGGAACTAAATCCTGTGGTTACATTCTTTTTGGTACCTGAACAGTGTATTACACATGGTGGTGGGTGGGGTTGTTAATATCCATTAAATAGCAAATATTTTTTATTGCTTAAGTTCTTGAGGCACTTGACATTATTAAGAGATGTTGGGTTTGAATAAAAGGCAGTTTATAGTTGTTTTTGACCTGTATGTTACGATCACCAAAATGAAAAACAAAAATGAAATGCTTAAAAAGAGGAGGAAATGGAAATCAGGAAGGGGAGGGGGTTATGGATAGAGGATAACCTTCAGTCAAGCTGATCATTCGTGTTTGTTTCTGGTAGTCATTAAGTCGGCCACTGCAGCTTAATGAACAAGGCCGTATTCTTGAAGCCGCTATAGAGGCAGCGGCAAATGCCGTAATTGATATGAGGGACTGTTTGAATGACTGGGATAGCAAAGTAGGTGATGGTGACTGTGGGTCAACTGTAAGTTGTACACTCAAAACTGTCTTAATTTATCATTTAGCTTTTGGTTCACAGTTTATTGCGTGATATGTGTGATTAATTTGCTTTGCAGATGTACAGAGGTGCAACAGCAATCCTTGATGATATGAAAAAATAGTATGCCCTTTCTCTATTTTTATGTTTTCTTTTTTTTGCTTGAATAAGGGAACCATAGTAGTTGTCTGGCAGTCCTAGGCCAGAATGCTAGGACATATATTTACTTCTGCAAGCTGTCTGCCCACCATAGTAATTGGTTTTAAGGTTGCTGGACATATATAGGTTTTCAATGAAGTGTTGCAGGTTTTGATGGGTCATTCTCTTAGACATGTAGGAAGGGATATATTTAACTTGAATTTATAATGCTTGCCAATAGTACTGAGTATTATATATATTTTAAGACTCTTACTCCAATGTGGGCTGACATGGCCTGCGCATAGATCTTTTTCTTGGTTCTACAACTACTTGATTAGACTTAAAATTAGTGAGGTACATGTGAATTAATTTTGTATTTCACTTATTATACACTGTGTTAGTTTCATTGCAATGCCAAGAATCCCAGAAAAATTGGTGGTTGAGATGCCTCAAAAACTTGGATGTGCCCATGATTCTACAGAGGATATTTCTCCTAATAGATATAGTAATGTATAAAACTGTTGTAGTCAAACAGGTTGCTGGAGTTTCGAGCATTGTTGTGTTATTGCTCTGTTTCTAGCCCTGTCATAATTAGTTCTTTTGCCTCCATTATAATTTGCACAATAGTACACATTTGCATGTGTTATGTATTGATTGATAGCTGTCAGCTTTAGAGCCTGTAGTTTTAAATTTTTAATGTGAAATAATGCTTTTGCACCTCAGTGATTATCATTCCAAACAAATATTTTCATTCTTTTCTTGATGGTCTTACTTGATGAATCATCTTCATCTTTTCCCAGTTATCCTCTGAATGATGCTGCAGAAACAGTGAATGAAATTGGATCATCTATTAGAAGAACTATGGGAGGAACAAGTGGAGTCTTGTAGTTTACTTGCCTGTTCTCTCTGCTTTATATATACTTAAACAGATAACTAGAAATATAAACTCTCGACATTTCTCTTTGAACAGGTACAATATATTTTGTAAGGCAGCATATGCACAGTTGAAAGCAAACTCGGATTCAGCTGTCACAGCAAACAAATGTGAGATGATGCTCTTCATCTGAAAGATTTTCTGATTTAAACACCTTGACTTAATGACTCTTGATTTCAGGGGCTGAAGCACTTGAAGCTGCCATTGCTGCAGTCAGTAAATATGGTGGTGCTAGTGGTGGTTGTCGTACATTATTGGATGCTCTTATTCCTGCATTAGCAGTTCTTAAGGAGGTTATATAGAACAACTGCCATTCTTTGCCTTTTTTTTTTTTTTTGTGGTCCAAGATTTCATGTTAATATTTTGTTTTGCAAGCAGAGATTAGCTGCTGCTGATGATTCCTCTACTGCTTTTGTTCTCTCATCTGAAGCAGCATTGGCAGGAGCTGAATCAACTAAAGACATGCAGGCACAGGTTGCTGTATCATTTTGCCTTTGCTTATATACTATTTAGAATTTTGATTTTACTTGGCTGTTCCTTTCGGTTGGCTGTTATAGGGTATAAAATTTTATTAAAATGCTGTGATTGCGAAAGGTATATTAAAGTAAGAAGCTTTTAAAGCTATGAGCTGCAAATTAAACTCTAAAACTTACAGAAGCAACTTACTAGAAACAAGATAGACGGGATAATTATTCTTTTGCAGTTATTTTTTTCTTCGTTCCTTTTTGGGAGAGTTGCTTGTGTCATCAATTTCCTAAATCACAATCTGTGATTTCAAATTTGTGCAACCACGGAAAAACATAATGGCCAACAAAAGGATTATGACAGAATTGTAACAAAACTTTATATAGGATAATTATTTTTTTAATTGATTGAGATCTGTTTGGTTCAAGTTTACTCCTTAATATTTTGTGTTTTCTAACAAATTTTACTTTGTATTATCTTTAAAATTTTGAAAGCAAAAAACATGTTTGAGAAGTAGTGTTGTTACATGTTGAAAAATTAATAATAATAATAATAATAATAATAATAATAATAAAGGAGAATGAAATTATTGCAAACATGATAATTCAATATAGAAGCCAACTTTTAACAAACTAGTAATAAATAATATCTTATCTAATATAATATATTCTAATAATGTTATAAATTTGTGTCTATGTTATACCATGTTATATCTTATTATCTGAAAATTTTTAACATGTTTCTTTTAAATAAAAATAACAGCAGCACTTGTATTAGTAGTTGTGAAAAAACTAAAAAATAAAATTGTATGAAAAACTAAAACTAAAACTGAATGTATATTGAAAAATTACTCATAAAAAATTATACAAGCACCTTAACTTTATATATAACTAACTAGTGGGTAAATTAAAAAATTAAATCTTTCTAAAATTGATCCTATAATTGATGGATTGTTTATCTTAATTTTTTGTCCTTAATTTTAGAGATAAAAATACTTAATTCTAAGTATACAAATATAAAAATACAGATTACGAGATTACAATCAGATGTAAATAAGTGTTTTTTTACACTCTTTTTCAAGCTGGTGAATAAGTGTTTTTCATTCCCTGCTTGAAAATAATTTTTTGAAATGTTGCACTACTGAGATTTTTACTTAATGCATCTATAAGTTGACCCTTGGTTGATACATACGGTGTACAAATCAACTCACGTCTAGTTTCTCTTTTATGAAATGTCGGTCTACTTTAATGTGTTTTGTTCTGTCATATTGCATAGGATTATGTACAATGTTTATTGCAGACTTATTATTATAGTAGAGTCTCATTAGTTTATCTCACTTGATCTTCAAGTCTTTTAGGATAATCTTTAACCATAGTAGTTCACAAATTCCTTGAGCCATTACTCTGAACTATGCTTTAGCACTTGATCTTACCACCACATTCTATTTTTTACTCTTTTAAGTAATAAGATTACCACCTAAGAAAGTGCAGTAGCCTGAGATGATTCTTCTATCAGTTACTGAATCTGCATAATCAGCATCTATGTATGCCTTTAGAACCAGCCATGAATTTCTTTTAAATAAGATACATCTCTCAGGATTGGCCTTCAAATAGTGCAATGCATGATAGACAACTTGTAGGTGCACTTCTTTAGGACTATGCATAAATTGATTTATCACACTCAATATATGCTATATCAGGTCTAGTATGAGAGAAATAAATGAGCCTTTCAACTAATCTTTGGAATATCTTTCTATCTACAGCAGCATCTTCATCAGCTTGTCCAAGTTTATGATTAGGATCTATAGGAGTATTTGCAGGTTTATATGCAAGCTTCTCAATTTTTTTCAAAAGATCCATCACATATTTTTGTTATGAGATGAAAATACCAGACCGTGAGTGACCTACTTCAATTCCTAGGAAGAATTTCAATCTTCCTAGCTCTTTTATCTCAAATTCTCTAGCCAAACACTATTTTAGAGATTCTCTCTCTTTGTCATCGTCTTCGATTATAATTATATCATCAACATACACTAATAGAATTGACTCTCTTTGAATCAGAGTGCTTGATAAATAATGTGTGATCTCCTTGATTCTGCTTATATTTCATTGCTAACATCACTATGGCAAATCTCTCGAACTAAGCGCTAGGAGACTGTTTAAGGCCATATAAAGCTTTTTTCAGCTTGTATACTTTGTTTGCTTTTAGATGATCTCTAAATTCATGGTGGAACCTTCATATATATTTCATCTTCCAAATCACTATGTAGAAAAGCATTCTTTACATCGAATTGTTGAAGCTGCCAATTGTAATTTGCAACCAATGATAACAAAATCCTAACTATATTCATCTTGGCAGCTGGAGCTAAAGTTTCTTGATAATCCATTCCATAAATTTGAGTATAACCTTTAGCGACCAACTTAGCTTTATACCTTTCAACAATATCATTTGTCTTGTATTTTACAGTAAAAACTCATTTAGACCTAATTGAATTTTTCCTTTAGGCAAATCTACCAGTTCCAATTCTTATTTTTCTCTAAGGCCTTCATTTCTATTTTCATAGCTTGCTTCCATTTCTCACTGGATAATGTCTCAGATAATATAGTTAGAACAGAATAATATTTAGGCTCACAAGAAAATTTTTGTGGGATAGTGAAAATTTTTCAAATGACACAAAATTAGATATTGGTTATAGTGGATACTTAGTACATCCTTTGGTTCATTTTCTAGTTTTAAGAGATTTATGTTCATTTTGAGAAACAAAGTCACAGACTGTAGTTACCTCATTTCTAAAATTAGGATCAGGTTCTTGGACTTGCACTGGTTCAGGATCTGAAACTTTTCTTCTTGAGTACACCTGTAATTCTTTTATACAATCAAGAACAATATTAGCCTTCGTCACATCTTTTGTGTTTGAAATGGGTTTAGACTCAAATTTAGTGTTTGACTTAGACTTAGAAGAAACAGGTTTTGACTCAGAAGAATTAATGGGTGAAAATATTGAAGAGGAAGACAAATCAAGCAAAAAAAAAAAAAATCTTTATCCTTATCTTCCATGAATAAAGTCTCTCCCTGAAGATAAGGTTGAGTAAAAAATAGTTTACTTTCTTCGAAAGTAACATCTATAGACACATAATTTTTTGGTAGGAGGCTCATAGCATTTATACATTTTCTAAATTGATGAATATCTCACAAAAATCACTTAATTGCTCTAAGATCCAGCTTCCCCCTATTATGACTATGAACATGAACAAATGATGTACAACCAAATATCCTAGGTGTGAGGTTGTTTGTAGTATTAAAGTTGGGATTGAATTATGAGAGTAGTTTCATAGGAGTTTTAAATCTCAAAACCCTTGAAGGTAACTTATTTATAATATGTGTGGCATTGAGAACGACTTCCTTTTAATAGGATTTGGTTACGTTTGCTTGAAAAAATAGAGCTTGGTTTGTGGCTAGTAAATGATTGTTTTTCCTTTCTGTCACTCCATTCTGCTGTAGAATATTAACACAAAATGACTCATGGATAATCTCTTTTTTTGAAAATAGGTAGATAAACTCTAATTGAAATAGTCTCTAGCATTATCAGACTTAAATCTCTTGATTTTCACTCCGAATTGATTTTGAATCATGTTTTAGGAGCTTAAAAATACATTATTCACATCTGATTTGGATTTAAGTAAAAATATTCAAGAGACTTTCGTATAGTCATCTATAAAAGAAACAAATCACCTTGCACTAGAAATATTAAAAATTATAAAGGGACTTCAAATGTCACTATGAATCAAGTAAAAAGAAGTATAACTTCTTTTATTGCTAATTGGAAATGATACACGTTTATGTTTTGCAAGTTCACAAACATCACAAAGAAAATCTTCGACATTTAATCCTTTGAACAAAAAAAAAAAAAAACATGTTTTTCAAAGTTTCAAAAGAAGGATGTCCAAGAGGAAATGATAAAGTCAGATTTTGTCTTAGTTATATGATTTTTCACAAAGAAATGACAAAGGTAAACTATTCTTGATATTACTTGTGTTGTTTTATGTCTCAAGATAGTATAGTCCATCCATCTCCTTAGCAAGTCCAATCTTCTTCTCCGAACTCTGGTTCAGAAATTCATAATAAGAGGGATAAAAAAGTCATTTTGCCATTCTTGTCTCTGGTAAGTTTTTGTATAAATATCATATTAGTAGACAATCCAAAAACATGAAGAACATATTTAAGAACAAACGAGGGATTAATTTGAGCATCTCTTAATCCTGTTACTATAGTAAATGAACCATCTACAACAACAATTTTCTTACTACTAGAACACAGGGTATATGTACCAAACTTCTGTGAGAAATGTGTCATATCGTCTATGGTTCCTGAGTCAATGACCCAAGAACTCGTAATAGGTTTAATCAAGACATTTAATCCATGAGAATTAGAAGCTTTACCTGAACTAGAGAGCTTACCCAAAAAACATATCTTAGTAGGCTTTTCGAGAGTTTTTAATAGGCTTCTAAGTTTCTCAATATTTTTTCTGGCCAACTCTTTTTGTTCTCGAGACTTTTGTAATACTCTGGTGGTTTTACTAGTTGTCACTACCTCAAATTGGGTAGTAGTGGCAGATTCTGTTATCTTTGGCATGGTTATCTTTCTCAAGACTGAAATGAGTTTTGATAGTCAAGGTTTAATCAGAGACGTTTCTAGGCAATGAAGGCCAAAAAAAAAAAGACTAAAAGATTTAACAAGATTGGGCTATGAAAGTGTGAAATTGAATTCAGTAATGAAGATTGAATAAATTTTCTTCCCAAAAAGAGCCTAAAACTCTGAAAACATGTAGAAAAACTAAAAAATAAAATTGTGAAAAACTAAAAGTAAAATTGAAAGTATATTGAAAAACTGCTCATAAAGAATTGTACAAGCATATTAAGTTTATATACAACTAACTAGTTGATAAATTAGGAAATTAAATCTTCCTAAAACTGATCTTACAATTGGCATATTATTTATTATAATTTTTTTGTCTTTAATTTTATGGATACAAATGCTTAATTCTAAATATACAAATATAATTATATAGATTACAAGATTACAACCAATTGTAAATAAGTGTTTTTTCACAGTAATTAAACTTAAATATTAAATAATAAGTTTTATAATATTTTAATGTTAAAATAATATACTATGTATTAAACATTATACTAACAGAACATGAAAATATAGCCTTTAATTTTAAAATGTTAAATATTTCTGTCTTATATATTTTTAGGTTTGCCTTAGTGCTTATTCGATGTATTTAAACATATGATTAATGTTTCATAATGTATATTGATAAAATATAATTTTAAAATAATTTAACACTATAATTTGTTTCATTTGTACAATATTTATAAATTTTTGCATTGTTATATTATGTTATATTGAGTAACTATTTGCTGTTATAATGCATATCAGTTTGTGTGTTTGGGGATCTGATGGTAGCTGTTGCAGGCTGGGCGGTCAAGCTATGTATCTGCCGGTGTACTTGCAACAGTTCCAGATCCTGGTGCAATGGCCGCAGCTGCCTGGTACAGAGCAGCAGCTTTGGCTGTGATGGATAAATATCAAGCTTCATGAGCTCATCTATCAAACTTTCAAAATTTTATCCTCAACATACACTTGATGTTTGCTTTTTGCTGCAGATTGACCAAGCAAAGTTTTGTTTATGGTTAACTAATTGGCTTTCTGCTTATGCATTTTTTTTTTGGGTTGGGGGGTGGGGGGCGTGCATTAAGCTGAGAAAGCGAATTTTATCCATACATATTATTGAATATCGAAAGCTTCCGGAAATGTAATTCAATATCTAAATAGAACTATTCAAAATAATAATGCTGTATTTTGCATGGGTCAAATGTTGACTTAGGATGGCCTTCCTTGACTATTGAGACTAGGGATGTAATCAGACTGAGTCCATAATTTGCCAAGCTGATTTGAAAACAGGCGGTTTGAATCTTTCCTCAAGCTTGACCAAGCTTTTATTTTTCTGGCTCCTCTCCTTATTCGTAATTGAGTGATTTAAACCTGGCTAAATCAGGTTTAGTAAAATTGTTCTAACTCAGAATATGAATCGAGTTCGAGTTGTTCATGATCGGTTTTTAGATAATTAATTGATGTTACCAATATGTCTTTGAATATGAAAAGTTAATTAGAACAAGATTAGTTTACACAATTCGATGGAAAAAACTATTACTTTTGACGTATTTTTGTCGTTAATTTTGCCGAAAAAAGTTGCATAAAAATGTAATTAAATGGTACCATGTTTGTTGATGGAATTGTCATTGAAATAATTTTCGTTGTTAAATTTTAGCAGAAATGCTTTCGGTATTAGATTTCGTTGGTATTTTTCAATGGAATTTTGTCGAAAATTTTGAGAGTCGTATGATTCATATTCTGTTGCAGTTATGTCGAAAATTCGTTGTTAAAGGTAAGAGATTTTTTTATGAAAATTTTTCATCAAAAAAATTGTCGTTAAAGATGTGTTTTCTTGTAGTGTATTTTATGATGTAAACTTACATCTATCATCTCATGCTCAATCTTGTCACATAGTTTATATAAATAAATGAGTTGTATTAAATATGTCATAAAAGCATTTTATAAATTGTCATTTAAGTATCCCATCTAGACTGGGTTGTATTACACGTTTCTTCGGGTACTTTCTTTTTCTTTATAATACGGCATGAATTGATTTATTTTTCAATGTATTTGTTTGACAAAATGGTGTTTGCATCATTTACTGGTTAATAAATTAATTGAAATTGTCAAACACTTATGTATCTTTTTAAATGCATATGTGACCGTACGAGATATATAATTAATTGTGAAATTGCATGCCATAAAAGAATAAACTGGACAGTTTTGTTATTCAATTAAAAGCTAAGTTGGGTTATGGTCTGAAGTGAAAAAGTAAGCTTGGTTTTATCCCATACTAGATTTGGAGTTTTGATTCTTTCAATATTGACCTTGCAATCGACATTGATTCTTAAGATATAAATAAATTGATTGATTGCTCCTACTCAAACTATGAACCTCAGCATTGGGACAAGCATCGGGGACGTAACATGTTCTCACAATATATAAATTATAATAAAGGTAAGAAAGCTAATGGATCAGGTTAGATTCAATTTGATTACTTTGGTTAATATAAAATATTATGAATATTTAAAAATCAAATCATTAGTTAATGTATAGTATTATAATTTTAAAAGTTCAATCTAAACCTAAATTAACTTTTTTAGGAAATTAAATTGATTTGAATCGAATTTTATCAATTTGGTTTGATTTATCAATTTTTTTAAATTAATTGTTTTAATTTTTTGATATTATTTGACATATATTTAAATATATTTAGATATAAAATATTTATTTTATTTTATAAAATTTAAAATATTTATAAAAATTTATGAAAATATATAATTCGATTTGGTTTAAATTTTTTTTCACTTTTCAATCTAAAAATTAAATCGAACTGAATTAAAATATAAAATAATTAAACTTAAACTAAATTGAATAAGAGAAAAGTCAATCTGATTCGAATATTATTATTTTAAATCAATGTTTAATTTTTAAGTTTTTGTCACCTTTAATAGAATTGTTTTAAACGGCGATTTAGATTTTTTTTTTTTTTGTTTATTTTTTATGAATTTGAGAGTAGGCTATGGAAGTAGTGGTCAGACAATTTTCATCAATCTAGTAAGCAGCAATTTTATCTTTCGAATATCATGTTAAAATTCCTCTTGATTAAATTACAAAATATGAATCGGCGCTTTCATATTATATAATGATGAGATGAATGTACAAGTACATACATGTATCGATGCATTAATGATCTATAAATGTGAAGATGCCATAAAGCTGAGAAGATATACCTAAGATGAATGCAAAATGCAATGAAAAGATTAAGGAAAAGAAGTGGAAGGAAACTCTTAACTAATCCTAATACTTTAATTTTTATTTTTATTTTCTCGGAATTCTTCGTAGATAATTTTTCCATAATTTTTACCACGCTAAGTGAATGACATGTTGTAAGGCGCGAGAATGAGTGAAATAAGAAGACTTTTTGTTTTGTTTTGTTTGAGCTTGTCCAATTCAACAAAATGATATGAGCAGAAACTTTCCCCCCGTGAAACCCGATTATTTTACAATGAAATAGATTGAGGCAATTAGAGGTTTGCAGCCCATGGATGTGAAGAATGCGGGCATTCTGTGGTGGGCCACATTGAAGTGATAGGGGGCCCAATTTGTCACCTAGGTGTGCAAGGAGAAGCACTTGTCGCATGAGGTGCTCTTTGGCACCATATGTTGATAATTTTTGTGTATTTTGAATTTTGTTGGCTTAGAAAATTCATGAAAATAAGCACCTAAACTAGACTTTTTGGGATCATGGGCCAATAAATCCATCTAGAGTTCGAGATTGTTCATGACTCTACCTTCGGAGGGACACGGACTGTCATCCATGCCATTATTGGGAGAGCTGGTTCGACTCCACCCATACCATGTTCCTATTGTAGTGCAAGATGACCATGATGATGCCTTTGAACTTTTTCACCATCGTAAGGATCCTGGTGCTCTCCCTCTTGACCTTGACTATAATTTAAAACAAACAGATTTTCAGCTTAAAATAAAAATACATAGTGAGCATAAGTATTTTATTTTTAACTTGAATTAATTTAATTTTTTAAAGAAAATTTTAAAAATGTTTTTATACACTTTTAAAATTAAATTTCATAATAATTTTAGTCACATGTCTTTACTAAATATTTTAATTTTAATATTTCTTTTACCCAAAAATACTAAAATATTTAAAAATCCCAAAACACAATTTTTCAACATTATTTACAGGGATACTGTGCTTTTTTAAAAATTAAATTTCTTTTAAAAGATATCACTTATAATAATTATATTACAATTAACTAATTAGATTTTAAAATTATATAAAATTTAATAAAATATTATGTAAAATTCATTTTTATAAGTGATTGATATTCATATAATTTTTTATTAATAAATGAGTAATTATATCATTGTAATAAAAAAAAAATTGTAGTCGAATTTTTTTTTTTTTCCAACGCTAACAGGCAATAGCAATGGTAAAAGCGAACCACTCGGATGGTGGTTGATCACTCGATCTAGCGTTTGGAAATCCAACGGCCATAAACTTAGTCAACGCAGTCCCCGCAGCCCATCTGAAAGAGAAATAGTTGGAAAAGATTTAAACAAAACTAGTGTGCGGTCCCAAGTTGGGATTAAATAATTTTATTTTAAAATATAAATTATTTAATTTTTTATTTTAATAAAAATAATAATTATCTATCTCATAATTAATTTTATAATAAATTAAAATTTATTATGTAATTTAACAAAAATATTATAATAATTTTAAAATAAAATGTCACCTTAATTTTTTATGAAACACTTATAAAAATATTTACGTAATTATAATATAAGAATCATTATAATAATTTTAGTTAATTATGTTAGATGAGTCATTTTCATAAGAATTGAATGAGACATATTATAGAAAATTTGATCAAATATAGTAGAATAAGTATTTTTGTAATTATAATAAGATGTCATTATAATAATTTTGATCAATTATAGTAAGATGGGCATTTTTATAATTATGGTAGAAAAGTATTATAATAATATGACTAATTATAAGAATAATAATATTTTCATAATTATGATAGAAAGGTATTATAGTAAATTTATGTGTCAAAATCATATCAAATAAATAAAGAGGTGTTATAATAAATTTTATAGAAATTGTTTTAATATATGTTAATTAACATTTAATAAATAATTAATATTGGCATTATAGTAAATTTCAAATAAAATTTTATATGTCAAATTTTTATGAAGCAATAGTAAGGGTATTTTAATAATTTAATATGTAGTTAATTTTATATTATACTAAAATTTTATATGTAATTTAATAGGTGTATTATAATAATTTTCAAATAAAATGTCATATGTCAAATTTTTATAAACCAATTGTGATGATATTTTAATAATTTAATATATAATTAATTTTATATTGTATTACAATTTAATATAAGTATTACAATAATTTTGAAATAAAATGTGAGAAGTCAATTTCTTATGAAATATTTATAAAAATATTTTCGTAATTATAATATGAGAGACATTATAGTAGTTTTTTGCTAATTATAATAAGGGTATTTTCATAATTTTAGTAAGAGGGATATTATAGAAATTATGATCAATTATGAGATAAAAAAATTTTCATAATTATGATACGAGAGAATTATTAAAAAATTGTATATTTTTATAATTATGATATAAAGACGTAATAATTAATTTAAGAGAATACATATTTTCATAATTATGATATGATAATATTATAGTAAATAATTATAAAAAATAGATATTTTGTAATTTTGATATGAGGGTATAATAATCAATTTAAGATAAAGATATTTTTATAATTACGATATAAGATATTATAGGAAATAATTATAAGAAAAATGTTATTTTTATAATTAATATACGAGAGCATAATAATTAATTTGATCACGTGTTAAATTCTTATCAATTTATAAGAGTAGTAGGTTGGTTGTTTCTTAGGGAATTATTTTCAATATATCTATTAATTTTTTAGATGAAATTTATAAAAAAAATTTATTAAAATTGATAAAATTAAAATTTAAAATTTAAATTGATATATTGACAGTCTTGTCATATCAATGTGCAAAATGTAAGAAAATTTTAATAAATTTTAATATATTTTAGATAAATATTTTTAATAAAAATATTAATAATATTTTAACCGTTAAATAAATATTGAACAAATTTAAATAATAAATAATTTTGATATGTTATTAATTTTTCACGTTAAACTTTGATTTATTGGATTGAATTTTTATTAAATTATTTTTAAAAAATTCACTAAAGAAAGAAATTAATTTAAGTTTTATCCGAGCGGTAGCCTTCACCATTAAGCAAAGCCCAAAAAGCCACGGAAAACAGAAATCTGCTTTCGCAATTCGCAGCTTACAAACGAAGGAAGCAACCGAGAGGAAAAAAAAGAAGAAAGGCTCAAAGACGGATTGACAATGGCGTTGCAGTGGTTGATTCTTACATACGTGGTCGCAGCCGAGGCAGCGCTGGCTCTTATCTTGACCCTTCCCTCTCCTAAGCTCTTGAAGAATCGCTTGGTCTCTCTCATCTCTCTTATTCTGCAGCCTGCTCTGTTCGTTGTCCCCTTTGCCGGATTCCAGATCTTAGGTTTTCTCGCCTTTTTGCTTCTCTATTGATTTGCTTGTGCCTTTTCAATCTTTAATGAAATGGGTTTTAGGTTTTTCATTCTTTTGATTACAGACATCTACTGGAAAAATGAGCATCGCTTGATATGTACCTCTGAGATCTGCACTGCAGCCGAGAGAGATCGTTACGAGAAATCTGTAAGCGTTAGACTGTTCCAATTTTTGGAATCTGATTATGAAATATTGCGTTTTCAATTGAAACGGGCTTTGGGGCATCGCTTCATTTATTTACCAAATTTGGCCACATTAATAGTTCTAAGTTCCTCTCACTTTCTCTCGTGTCTATGTCCGTTCTATGAATGATATGAACCATTTTTTTTTCTTATTTAACTTAAGTTAACCAACACATGAGCGAGCTTTATTGTATGTTAATCTGTATCAGCCTTATCTTTAATTACTGCTTTTATTTGGGACTGTAAGTTCAAGGATTTAAAGTGGTTGAAAATCCTAGATGTTTTACGCTGAAATCTTACTATAACATTGCATCAAATTGGTAGTCAGTGACATAGTTTTGTTGTTTTATTATAATTGTCTGAACTTTGATTCTGGAACCACTAAGAGCTATTAGGGATTTTATTTATTTCTCTAATTTAACTTTTTCTGGCCAAAAGAACTATGAAAAAAAAAAGGGAAAAGTGTTGTAGCATTTTTATGGGATGAAATGCCTTGATTTAGTGAAAAGAAAATAAGTGCACCAAATACGAAAAATGAAACTTTTAAAATTAAAAGAAGCACATCTCAATTTTTTGTGCACATTTTTTTTGTCATGTGGAAAATTATGAAGCATTTGGAGTACTTAATGTTTGCAGGATGTTGGTATTTGAGAGCAATTTTTAACTTCTTTTGTCAAATTTTTTTAACTTCTGATTGCGATGGAACAAATACTAGAAAGATTGTGAGGAAGGAATGTTAGATGCCAAGTTTTATCTTTATCTCCCTTGTCCACATTTTCTAATGTGGCTTCCAGTGTTTTTCTGTTTTGCATTTATGTCCAGTTCCCTTGGCCATATATATTGTGATTCATTTACTTTATTTGCAAATTGGCCTACTTCATTTATGGATGTTGTGTTCAACTAGAATTATGGAGGACTAGATGAGCTTTGAATATTTTATTGTTGTTTGTGGTGCTTTTAGTTTTTTGTTTGGTTTTTTAGAATTCAAAGGAAACATTTATGCTTGCTTTGATTCTTGATTTACCTAGATCTTGTTGGTACATGAAAAATGAAATCTGCCCATGTTACAGCTGCATGATAGATAACCCAGCAGCCTTAGCTAACAATGAAGGCCGCAGAAGTGGGAGAGGCTCCTCAAGAATAGCTCTCCCCCATTCGCATTTTGACCAAGATTAGCTAAAAATGAGCAAACCTCTTCCCTTCTTAGTGAATATTTTTAAATTGAATCATCCAACCACCTTTATTAAGCTCAACACTATCATTAAGACATTATAAGGATGAGACCACGACGGCTGCATCCAACTCTACACGAAGAGGGTGAACTCCTAAGTGTAGAGCAATAGGCAAGCCTTCTTTGTTGATGCCTCCAATCTCTGCCATCAAATATTTGTAACATCTATATTCATCACGAAACCTTTGACTGTTGTTTTCTTTTATCAAGCCCCAAAAGAAACATGTTTACACGTTGCTTTAACCTAGATTAAACGTATTAAATCTCTCTCTCTCTCTCTCTCTCCAGGTTGCCTGTAATCATTATTAAATGCATGTTTGAACGCATCAATTAAGATTGCTTTTGGTATATGTAATTTTGAAGTTATTGAAAATCTTTTTTCCTTAGAGCAGAATCTTGTTTGTCTGTGCACAAAGTTTGAGTCTATGCAAGTTTTGTATGATATTGATTGATTGTTTTTATAATACAGCCCCCTCTCTTCCTGATTTTCTAATATATATATATATATATATATATATATATATATGTATATGAATGTGTGTATGCATACCAAGGGTTTAAATCGCGGTTGTGAACACGTTTTTGGTTGCATCGTATTTATTGCGGTTGCGGATATAACGGAGATCATTGCAGTCATAACGGTTGTGAATTTTTTTAATTTTTGCTCAACTTACTATGAAATGGAGTAATTATAATTATAATAATAAAAATTATTACTCTATAATTTTTAAAATAATTTATGACTTTTAATTTTTTATTTATAAATTAAAATAATTTTTTTTTATATTTTATAGTTATAATTCAGAATTAAATTGCATATTATAAATGCTTTTCATTATTATACCCATTAAATTCATGGACATAAAAGTTATAAATACATATGATGGAAAAAAAAAATCTTATATGAAGTTAATTAAGATTATAATTAATTTAATTAGAAAAATAGTGATGAACATTTTAGATATTTTTATAACATATGTTTATTGGGGGAATATAATTAAAACCAACTCATTGACCGTGGATACATATACTTGACCATTAGATCAAATTTTCAAGTGCAACATATTAAATAACTAATTGACCAAAATAATATAATAGTGACAAACTAATCTTTATTAACTGATAAAAATATACAATTAACAATAACATTAGTAATATTGAAATACTGTTATTTTAAGTTAAAAAAATAAACACTGTGATTGGTTGGGCTGAACCCAAACCCACCAAACCTTTCCTACATCCTTACATTCTTCAAAATTCACGATTAAACCTCTCTGAGTCTCCCTTTCTCTCTGTCTCTTCCTCCAAAAATCCACAGCATCTCCCATGCTTCCTTGTCTCCTAACCTCTTCCAATTTCCAGCCATGCTATCCCTACCTTATTCCTCAACCCAAGCCACGAGCCATACTACTAGTGAACCTAAGCCCCTCATCTTTCCATCTTGGCAGTTAAAAGATGTTTTGCTTCTTCTCAACTCTCATGGTCTGAGGTGGTCATTGATTAACTTCAATAACATTTTCTTTGATCTTGATTTAGGTTTATATTTGCTGATTAAGTCATAGACTTAAGGGTGTTTCTTGTTTCGAATGTGTTTTCTTCATTTGAAATTCTGTGACTGCTGAAAAAAGGAATGGGTTTTCAAATTACATTTTGGGTTGAAAACAGTGATTACAGCTGTAGCGTTCCGCTATAGCCGCTATTGTCCTCTAAACTGTTATTTTGCGGCCATGAGCCGCCATTATGAGTGTGAATTCCTTTCACACCCCAATTTCGGGTATGTAGCAGTGGCGGAGGCCACCGAAACCACAAAATAGCAGCCGTAATGCCACTACACAACTGCTATTTGAAACCCTGCATACATATATATACACATTTATATAGTGTGCATGTGTGTATTTATAAAAATTTAAAATACTAGTCAATTACAGACTTGACTCATTTCCTTAAGGTTTTTAGTCGCCTCATATTTAGAATCTACAAGCTTTAAGTCATTTTCCTTGTCTTGTTCATTTCAGATTGTAGTTTTTCTTTTCTTCTTTTAAGACATTAGTTCCCCTCTTGGTTTTGATTATTTTCTTCATTTGTTGCTTTTGGAATGTTGAATTGATGGAAAGATCCCTTTAAGAATAAAAAAATGATATAAACCAACCATGGTCAAATACTTAGACACGTTTGCAAGATCATCAGCAGAAAAAAAAAAGAGGGAAACTGGGGAAGAGCTCAAAACTTAAAAAAAAAGAATGATAAAGTGATAGAAGGGAGAGAGAAAGAGTTCAAAGACAGCTATCATTAATTTCTCCTTTTCTGTTTAAGTTTTTTTAAGTTTCCTCTTCACCTTATTCGATATGGCATTCAAGTCTAAAAGGCTAGTTGTTGGCTAACTCCCTAAGAGTCAAGGGCAGTAAATTGCCATTCAAACAAGAGGTGGTTGTGTAGTTCTCAATTCGTCGGAGGGGGCTTTATGTTTTTTGCCCATTCAAAGTTATTTAAGCAATAGTACTTTAATCTTTTGACAGAAGATAGCTATTTAGAGGTAACACTAGCTATAAATGAATTTGGTTATGCAAAAGATATTAAAAGAAAGAGGTCATGTCGTTTGATCACAAGGAAAATAAAATTAGAAAATTTATTTGTATAAGATACAAGACGAATACAGATATTTATATCCTGCTTTTTGGATTTTCTTTAGCCAACTCTTCAAGCCCAAAATGTTCAAGTAAAAGACATAGACATTTGGAAAAATACCCATGTTAGATACCTACATTGGAGTTCATGTTATGGATCAACCAATGGAAACTTCTTTGTTGTAGAACAAAAAATTTAGGTACAAAGTTTTCCTGAAATCTGATGTTCCCACTTGGATTAATGGGGGTTAAATAATTTAGTGTTTCTCAATTCAAAGATGCTAATGTGGATGCACACAGGACCTACATAGTGTTTAGTACTGATAACTCTGCTGTGCTAGCTTTCGTGTTCCTGTTTTTGGTTTTCTTTTTTTTTTTTTGCCTATTTGGGCTAGGGAAACTGACATCTTCGTTATTGCTTTAAATTCCAAAAATGGGGCAAATAGTATTGCATCAACAAGGTTCAAAGACTAATATTTGCATCAACAAGCTATGATGACAAGACAGGCCTAATAATATTGAGGTCCTCAATTCAGAAAGCCATAGGGGCTACCTGCATTTTCCCATCATTTGTGTTTTTTGGGCTTTAATACATTTTACAATTGGTTTACATGGAGTTTGTTTATGATTAGTTAATGAATTAAGCATTCCATTGCTTCTTATGAAGCTGGCTATATCTGATTAATATATGAAGAAGGAACAGGATCCTATTGTTGTTCCCTGAAATATCTTTTGAATTCTTATGTTGAGCTCGGCTTGTAAATAATTTCAGTTTGTGGGATGCTTTGCAGGTCTTCAAAGCTCAAAGGAATGTAATTTTGTGTGCAACTGCATGTCTTCTATACTGGTATGTGCTAGCAATTTGACAGCCTTTGCTTGAAAAAGATAATTTTAGGAGTTATTAAATTTTGAGATAATTTGCATCTGATCCTTATGCAGGTGTATCCAACGTATTTGCAAGTATCACAAGGAAATTCAGAGTTTGGAGGAAGTAGAGAAGAGATACAAGAATCAGTAGCTTCTTATGTTGGCCATCATGGGATTGGCTGACAATCAATTCAATTCAGAATGTTTCTAAACAAAACTCACGTTACCTCTAGAGATAATGTTATGTTAAAAGCATTTATATATATATATATATATATGTATGTATGTATATTTACCTATATTTGTATTATGTGTTTCATGCCCCAAGGCATGTTTTCATTATGGCTAAAGCACCTTGTATTTGTTTTTTTCTCTTTAAATGGAATTTTTAACTCTTTTTTCAGGAAGAACTATACTTGGTTGTTTCTGTTGTCGGGCATGAAGCAATTGAATAAGGTTCCTTCAATCGATAGGCGCCATAAATATGGCAAGCCTTGTGTCGAGGAGTGTGTTTCAGCAAATGTTGTTCATTCGAGATCGAGTGTTGAAGAGTTTTTCTAAAGTTTGCTCTATGAATTTGAGCTCTGAATTGTTGAAATAGTTGTAAAAGTTAATTTTATAATAATGTTAGTATGTTACAGTATTTTTACTTCCTCCGTTCCAAAATCTTTCTATTCGAGTGTGAGTGTAGGTTGGTTATGTTAACATTTTGGATTCGAGTGAAAAATTTTATGTAGGATAACTTCTTTATTTTAGAAGGTAAAATAATAATGACAAATATATTTGGAATATCCAAAAGAGTAAATCAAATTAAAAAAGAGAGAGAGAGAGAGAGAGAGAGAGAGAGTACAGTATTAAGACATTAAAAAAATTAGAGAAAAAAAATGTTTTAAGTTGAGGGTTGTTTGTTTGATTGTGATATAATTGTAATTTTTAGTTATATTAGAGTCATTGTTTGCACGTGAACCTTTTTATTTATTTTTAAATAATTATTTATTAAACATAATGTTGCATATTGTACTAATAATTAAAATTAATAATGTGTATCATAGTTAAAATTTGCATTAACATTTAAAGTTTTATTTAATGTGTAAAATACCATATTAATGAAAATTTTGATATTTTTAGCGTTAATGTCATATTAAAACTTAAAAGATAAAGCAATTAAATAAAAATTTTATTCTTTTTATCAAATGAATTAATTAAATAAAATTGAACTTTTCATTCATAAATTGTTTAAATTTTATAAATTCATCAATAAAAGAATTATCAATATTTGTTCTATTAGTTTTTTATACGCTAGCATCTTTTTCCATAAATGCCACGAATGTTTGTTTTTTAATATATTTTCAAACAGAAAAGCTATTTCATTAATTGTCAGTAAAATTTTTAAATTTCATAAACGAGGTTAATAAAGTGATATATATTCTTTAGGTGTATTTAAAAAAAACTAATTAAAAAAAGAGACGTATTTTCATCTTTTAATTTCAATTGTAAAATTAAAGTTACAAAATAATACATCAAATACTAATTTTTTCTAAATAATAGTTATAAATGAACAAAGAATTGCATTATAGATAATTAAAACTAATAAACACATATTAATAAAAATAATAAAATTTCTGTTTTTGGTATTTGTGATTATTAAAATTAAAAGTTCGATAATTTGTTAACAAATTACATGATTGTTGATGATGATGATTAAATTTCATATATAGACTAAACATTTCATATCTATATATATATATTAAGATTTCTTTAAGTCTGTGTTGGCCTTTATTTGAACATAGACTTCCAAGGGGTAAGTAAAAAGTTAAGGATGGCAAAGAAAATAATCTCTAAATTAGGCTCAATGTAAAAATCCCAGTTTATAATATATAAATATATTTGTTAAAAAGCCAAAATTTTCGATGAGAAGGAAATTAATAACATTAGCTCTTTTTTTTTGGAAAAAAAAAATGTCATATTATCTCCTTATTGTTGTGAGGATTAATGTATGAATAACTTCTGAATTATAATAAAATATTTAATGTAATATTTAAATTAAATTTTTTTTTAAAATAATATTTAAATTAAAAATTTATATACTAATTTAATATTTTAAAAAATAATTTATCTATGATGTATCATTATTTTAAAATTAATCATATTAAAAATAAATATTACATTAATTAATAAATTTATAATAAAAAATCATATTAAAAATTTTTAAAATTTAAATATTATATTTAATATTCTATTAGAACTTGTAGATTTTTGGTGACATTAACTCTCGTTAGAAATCACTAAAAACTATGCCATCCTTTTCACACATTCACTACCGATTAGGATTGACAAGCCTGTATATAGAGAACGTGACAAGCATGGCGCAGATGTGAAACACACATAGAAACAATGTGCTACAAAGAAAGTTGCCAGCATGCAAAATAATCGTTGGCTCTTGAAATCAATTTTGTTTGAGAAATGATACTCATCTTAATTTCACAATCAAATCTTAAAATATATATATATATATATATTATGTTCAGAAATAGGTCGCATTCTCATTTTATTGGAAGCCACATTACAAAGTCCGAAAGTGAGAGATGTTGATTCAATCTGTTCACGTTGTCCACTCCAATTAGAAAGATCCCAATCACCCGAAGCTAAAATCTTGACAACGTTTACACTTTTCCTTTTTTCATTTTTTTTAAAGAAAAAAATTATAGTGTAGTTCAATTTCCGGTGACTTAAAATATATATATATATATATATATATATACTTTTCTTAATGACAAAATAGCTTTAGGTTTTGACTTTTGAGGAGGTTCTAATATATTATATTATTGTAATTTTTATTTTTTTAATTTTATTTTGAAATTAAAATAATGATTTATTTGAATTAGAATAATATTTTTAAATTTAACAACTTTAATCTAATAACCTAAAAAAATTATATAAACTAGATTAATATAATTAAATGATTCCTTTTCTAAATTGACTCATAATTGCTTTGGTGTTTATATTTGAAGTTACCATATACTAAATTTTGGTTATTAAAATTAAAAAATTTAATAAACGTATCAAACTAATGATAATGGTGGTAATAGTTGATTTGGTCTGCTTTGAACGCATCAAACCAGGCGTTGCTTGGTTCAAACCCTTGCAATCAACTTACCAACAGGCTTGAATGCGTCAATTTGACGGTCCAAAAACTAGTGCTACACGCCACGGCTTTGGACTAAGCTTTACCCCCCCCAGCCACACGGAATCTTTGAGCTTCTCCTTTCACATTTCTAACCCTAGCTTGATTTCTTCATTCTTTTGCCAGTGGGAAATGAAAAATTTTGCTACGAACCCGTGATAGCTAGAATAGAATAATATACTAGTCATTTTGAATCCCTCTCCTCAAAACTTTAATACTCAGATTTCCAAACAATTCCATTTCAGTGTAGTTTGCATCTCCAGAATTTCCCATTCAAAGAACAAATTATGCTATATTTTTAGTTTGTACAATAAATTGAAACTCCAAACACTGATCTTAGCTTGGAGTTTTAAAGAATAAAGAATTTGGATCAAACATTTCAAAACGATCTCTTGAGGCTCTTGAAGTCTACAGAGTCAATACACTCCAATCCAGCTCTGTAAGGATTCATTAGTTTCAAAAGCTCAGTTGCTTTCTCTTTCGTCTCATCGCCACACCCAACCTGTATGAGTAACAATAGCTTTTGAAAGGCACCAACTTGAAGAGCTTCAATCAAAACTCTTTCTTCGTGGTCCTTTCCATATTTGCTCAGCTTCCAAATTGTTGAAACAGAATACTCGGTTGCTAATTCTGAAACACGCAAAATTTTTTTCACCAGAACTGGCATCGCCAGAGCATCATTGTAAGCAGCTTCCCTCCCTTGTTTGGAATCACAGAGTTTATCAACAACACCTAATGCCCTCTCACAGAGGCTTCTTTCAGATTCGACAATAGTCTCCAACAGTAAAGAAACTAGATCCATCTCAAGGAATTCTGACTTGATCTTCTCATTTGAAGAAGAAGATGAAACCATGTAGAAAATTACCATGAGAGAAGCTTTTGTGATTGAAGGACAAATTGGGTCTTTGATGAACTTAAATAGCATTTCATTGACCCCATTAATAGCCGCCAACTCTTCTCCATATTGCTGGTTGCAAGAAAGAAGCTCTTGCAGGGCATTCATGGAGTTTTGCTTCACTGAAATGTCCCCGCATTTCAGAAACCAAACCATGCAATGCAAAGAAGATTGTGACCCCAAGTAAAGCTGAGCTTCCTTGGCAAGTGGAAACATCCAGTTCAATACACACAGTATCTCCTCCAACAAGTTGGCATTCCTCTCAAAAGAGTCGGTTGCAAATGCGTCAAATGCAGCAGCAAGGACTCCAGCCGTCTCGTTTGCTATAATGCAACGTCTGTTTCGCTCACTTTCCATGCCCCATTTCTTGATTTTCCGCACAGAATCTAGGCAGCCACATTGATCCAAGCGTCTGTTTGAATCCATAATCCCAAAGAGAATTTCAGAGACCTCCTGTGAGGTGACAGGAATTCTTGGCGTTGGTATCCTTTCAACGCCATAGTTCCGATTCTCTACACACCAATCTTGAATCATTATCCTGAGAGAGTGATTGGGTATCTGATCAAAATTTCTGAGAACCTGATTCGTAACAGGGCAGGTGAAATTGCCATCCTCAAGCCATGTGTTGATGCTTTCTCGATCGTAAGTTATCCCAGAAGATAATGTGACGGGATCATTCATAAGATCAAGAGTTATTGGGCATAGAAAATGACTTGGGATCTCAAGCTCCTTCTGCTTCTGCCCTTTGTCTCCATGACGGTCTGTATTTTTCCTTCTCCTCCAACTGAACATTGCCGAAGAATGATGTCAGAATCAAGAAATGTACAAGAGTTAATGTTTTTTTGTTTTTGTCTTTATGAAAGATAATGGGTGTTTTTGAGGTTTATATAGCAAATGGCGTTGAATTAATTTCAAGCTCTTCACACGGCATTCAAAGTGTAGGACTTAACAAAAAAGTAGAAAGAAATGACGAGGAGAAGCGTTCAAATTGAATTGTTAGTATAAACCAAAACGAAAGCAAGATTTGACCATTGAAAATTTGACGGTTTAAAATGTGGAAATGGTAAAGGAATGCTCTTCAAAGGAAACAAAGGTTTTGTTTGAATAACAATTATAATACTAATATAATATAATATAGTTTGAGGTTGGGCTTTTGACGGGTTGACTTACATTTCCTGGTCTTATTTCTTATATCTAAATTATTCGGCCCCACCCCTCAACAAATTAATTGTGTAAATCCAAAATGAACAATTTATTGTTTAAGAAATGTTTAATTGTTTATCAATTGTTTGTAAACCGAAGCCTTGTAAAACTCATACAACCTTTTTTTTTTTCTTTTTTTTTTCATGGTAATAAAACTCAACCTCGTGCCAATCATTATATGAGCCACCCAATTTCAAGTGACAATAACAAGGGTAACTATTATCTCCTGACAAATCTTAAATATTATACAATAATAGTAACTCACATCATTTAACAAAGTTAAAAGAGAGAATACGAACCACTCAAGATTATAAGTATATGATATGATAATTTAATATAAAAATAAAATAAAATAATTTTTTTTATGAATTTAATAAAGAGCATGTTTTATATTTATTTAATTGGTACAAATTTCAATATAATAATTTGATGTTTAAAATGTATTTTATATGTTTAACGTGTTTAAGATATATATATATATAATACATTTAATTAAATCATATCTAACGAAAACAAATATAACACATTTATTACATTGTTTATTAGCATGTAAGAGTATCTTAAATTTTTAATTATGATATCTAATTATTTATTCAATTAAGATATAATTTTGTTTATACTTTAATTTTAAATCAAATAGACATAATGATCAATAAATTTTTTTCCTCCATGAAACATGTTTTAAAAATAAAGATAAAAACTAAGAATTTATTTTATTTTTGAGGTTATGATTTTATTTTTATTTATATTAATTAAAATTATATCATTAATAAATTTTTTATTTACATGTTAATCATGCCAAATCTTTTTGTATTGGATAAAGTATCTAAATGAATTGACTTTTAAAATGTTAATCGTGTTATGTGATATATATATGTATAATAAACGTACTTTATATTCATGTTTTAATTTGGCCCGTTTAATTATTTTCATTTTTTTTAATTATTCATTTTGTGTTGGCACAACATGAATACACACAAATTAATTGACTAAGAAATCCTTACAGCCCAACCTGGCACACTATCATATAACTGCTGCAGAACCGAGTTCTTCTTTTCCCTTAAATAAGGGCTGAGAAAGCAAGATATATAGAGTCACGAGGATTGACGGTAAGGTTTTACATGTTAATAGAGAAAGCAATAGATATACTTGATTCTTGACCAAGCGGGCAAGCAACAAAGCAGTTGAAGACTCACATATTTAGAGCCTTTTTTTTTTTTTTTTACGCTTGAGGACTGCTGGGATATTTCAAGACCTAGGTCTTGTGTATGTTAGCAGACTTTGTCTGCTCTTTTATGTACCCAAAAAAATAAAAATAAAAATACAGGCATATTGTCTTGGAAAGAATGGTAGTTAAAAATTTAAAATATACATAAATAAATCAACAAGATATGTATTATATATTTCAGTGTAAAAAAAAGTATTCACATAGGATCATATCCTAATTCAAATGGATTTAATAGGCTAGCTTTATTCCAAGTCCAACATATAACAATAAAGATATACAAATTATTTCGAAAATATTACTTCAAAAAAAAATTATTTCGAAAATGACTGAAAATTAAAAAATGCATGTGCATGTTGAGAGAAATTGCTATGAATCCTTTCCACTTTGGTACCAAACCATCACCAAAATGTTCAATCTGCTTCACACTCTGTAATACCACCAAGCTTCGGGCGCGAAGATAATATAATAGCACAAATTTCATCATGTTGACAGATTGAAGTTTTAAATCTTTCAGATCAAACTGTTGGCTTTTAAATATATATTAATTATTTGACATAAAATAAGTATGCAGAATATAGTAAAAAAATTAATTAAAAAAAATCACAATTAAATATTTATCAAGTCGGTTTTAATTATTGTAATACTAGTATATATTAAACTTAAATTTACTGGTTTGTGAAAAAACAGTGTTCACAAATTTATTATTCATTTGAAATTCAAAATTATTTATAATAACTAAATACAAATTATAAAATTATAAAATTTTGAAATTAAGAATTACAATATTTAGATATAAATAACTTTTGTAACTATATATCCAATATAAAAACATAGAATAAAGATTAATATATATCAATACAATAAATTTAATTTTGAGGGGCAAACTAGTTTTTTTATTAAAAAAATTCAAAATTATTATGAAAATAATATATGCATATAAACAATTCAAAATGTTTGGGGGCTTCTTTAATGGATCCGCCACTGTTTGTATTAAGATTTTATAACAATATATATAATTTTCACAATTTCTTGGTTAAAGAAAAATCATATCTTAATTTATTATAAATTTTTAAATGAAATTTTATTAAGATTGGTTTCTCTCTCTTGATCTCTTTTTCTTTTTCATATTTTCTTGATGGAGAGAAAGTTTAAATTTATAGAAAGAGAGGAACGACTTTTTTAAAGCTGTTACTCGTACGTTCCATCACCATATGATTTAATAAACTAGTAATTCTCTTTTGATCAAAATAACATTTTTCCTTTCAAATTCTTAGCATTCATTTAACCATTTATTATCTTTTAATTAAATTAAAACATATTTACTTAAAGTTGAACAATTGACATGTACGCCACATAAATGATAAATTCAACATTCTCTCACTTAATCTACGTGATATTATTCAACTTTATGGTTTAATAAAATATAATGTGCAAAATATAAACTAAGTCCTTTCTTAAATTAATTAAATTATAAATCATTATTAAGCAAAACTAATAAGGATCATAATTAGTTCAACATAATCCCTTTCATGTATCACATTATTAGTCCCTTCCACTAAACATTACATGTAATGAGAGATACCATAACGATCTAACAATAATGTTTTCATTAGAGACAAATCTTGTTTATATTTACATAATTCAATCATGTATATTTGAAATAAGATGCATAAAAATAATTCTTAAAGGAGCTAAGAATATCAAATACTTAATGAACATAAAATTTTATCATAATGTCAATATTGGTTTTCAATAATGCGCATTTTTTAAATGTTCATTAAATCTCTTTTGTGGCAAAATTGTTGTTGTAGATAACCTGTTTTGTCCAGGAATTTCTCCGAAAATGAAATGGGCATTCGATCATAAGTTGGGCCCAATTGTGAAACTTTGGGCCCAATAAGAAAATTTTTATTTTTTATTTGATTGTATTTTTTTATCTAATTTTATTTGATTTTATTCTTTTTTTTTTCTCAAAAAGTCAAAAAGTAAAAAACAGTCCAAAAATGAAAAAGGAAAGTTTAAACAAAAACAAGTGGAAATATTAAATTTTGGATTCGATGATTTTGGAACTTAATTACAAAATCAATTCATAGCACAATTAATCAAATCAATAACCGGTTTGATTTAGTTTCCAGATTTGAGAGGGATTAAATCCCTATAAAAACAATGAATAGACAAAAACGAAAGAAAAATATACAAAAAAATCAAAGGCTTTGAATTCTTTTGGGTTTTCTGGGTTTGTGCTCTTTAACTGGGTTTTTTTGGGATTACAGGGAATTTTTGGGTTGAGATTCGAGTGTTGGGTTGTTTCATGGGTTTTATGGGTTTTTTTTTTTTAGTTTTTCTAGATTCTAGGAATAATTTTACGATTTTGAAGATTGGTTCAAATCTTGGTTGTTAGAAAAATAATTTTAGGCTTTTGTTTTGTTTTGTGGAATCTCAAATCCTTGGATTAAGATCTATTTTTTGGGTTTGATTTTTTTTGGAAATTTTTTGGAAAAATTGGATTTTTTCTGGGTTTTACTTAAATATCCTGATGGAGTTTGATTTTTCTGGTGGTTTTCAACAGTGGCTGGAGGGGTCTACAGTGACTGATTTCTCGATTTTATTGGTTTTCTAGGAAATTTTGCTATTTCCAATGGTCGATTGAATTTTTTGATGTCGAAACCTAAGTTTCTTGGCTAGATTCTTCATTTGGTTGAATTTCCCGATAAAACTTCTAGAGAGAAAATAGAGGGAAATCAGGTTATAGAAAGAATGGGCTAGGACATTACGAGGAAAACAAGTTGAGAGCCTTATTTTATATCAAGCCAAAACGGTATTGTTTTGGAACTCAAGATCCGCCTGAACTCAAATAGAATCCTTGTATAACCCGTTTTTGACTCGCTCGTTTCGCAAGTTTGTCCTTTTCTTTTATTGTTTATTTTTTGGTTTTATTATATATATTATATTATATTTTAATATTTATTATGTTTGTTTGAATTAATTTGGTGAAAAAATAGTTTATTTTTGCATGAATTTATTTTTTTAGTACTTATTTTAGCATGAATTTAATATATTTGCATAATTTTTTTATATAATTGCATATTTTCATATATATTGGGTAATCTATTAAATATATTTTATATAATTGCATGATTATATTTAATTGCATGATAATTGTATGATATTTTATTGCATGATATATGATATTATTATTTCATGGTATTATTTGTATGATGATTTTTGTTTATTCTAATTGATATCTTTTCTTTTAAATAAAAAAAGGTTTTCAAAAAATGTTTTTCAATCTTATCAAACTATTGAAATATTTAAATCTTGAGTTAAGTCTTACCAAACTATTGGAGGGCTTAATGAATTTTCCTGAAAAAATATTTTTTAAAAATCCTACCAATATATTGGAGGATAATCTTTAACAGAAAATTTTATCAACATATTGGAAGATATTTTTAAAAATAAATTATTTTCATAAACAAATAAAATTTTAATCCTACCAACATATTAGAAGATAATTTTTACAAAAAAATCTTACCAACATATTGGAGATATTTTTGAAAATAAATTGTTTTCA